GTACTTTAAGCTTATTATGATAGGGTGGAACTGTTGCTGTCATTTAAAAATAAAAACACTAAAGTCTTTTCTTTAAACAAGTCTTGGCTGCCGTTATGAAACTTATTTTGGTATTTCTCCCCTCCTCAGCCTGATGTGTACCCAGGTAACTGCTGGGCCTTCAAAGGCTCTCAGGGTTACCTGGTAATCCGGCTGTCCCTGAGGATCCTGCCCACATCCTTCTGCGTGGAGCATATCCCCAAGGCCCTGTCCCCAACTGGAAACATCACCAGCGCCCCACGCAACTTCACCGTTTTTGTAAGAAACAAGCTAACACATAAAGCCTTACAACTGCACATTGTTAATCCAATCCAAGCATGAGCGATGAATGACTATTTTCACTGTTGTTTGTCTTCAGGGTCTAGATGATGAATACCAAGAGGAAGGGAAGCTGCTGGGGCATTACGTATACCAGGATGATGGGGAGTCACTGCAAACCTTTCCTGTTATGGTAACTTGAAGACACACTTCCCAGCCAGTTACAAATAAAAATCAATGTATTGTCTGCGGCCATGTTTTGAATCTTTCCCCTCTTGTGTTTCAGGAACAGAATGACAAGACCTTCCAGATCATCGAGGTGCGGGTGCTGTCTAACTGGGGTCATCCAGAATACACCTGCATGTACCGCTTCCGAGTCCACGGGGAACCTCGGCCTCAGTGAACTAACCACTAACATCATACACGCTCACACATGACATGTCACACATCTGTACATAGCTCGCATCAACTTGTTAAAAAACGGAGGGGACTCGGCAGTATTTGGTGGACGTTTTTGTAGGAAGGACACGGAGAACACAGAAGTTGTGGATTGTGAAAGGAACGTGTCGAGACTGAATCACGAACATGTGTTTTGTGATATTGAAAGAATCACAGGGAAGTCTGATGGGGACTGTCAAGGATTGCAGAAGAGGAACAGAACCACGGAAGAAGCTAACTCCCAGTCCCCTTTTCGTAAAAAGGTCTCTTGCACTGAATCAGCCTGTGAGGGCGGCAGGCTCCACTGAGCGGACAAATCCATCCCCCCCCCACCCCCTCTTGGCACTCGCCACTTCTACACGGAGGTGGATGCTTGAAATGGGGGATTACAGACTCATCTCCACTCATTTCCTCACACAAAGCATCTCAGTCTGATTTGGTTTCTGTTCTTAGACATCTGTGTTGAACTTTGATTTCCGGTTAGTTTTACATTTTCAGGATCAAAGCCACTGCACCTTTGCCTGTGATGCTGTCCAGGCGTGTCACTCCCTTTTCGTTGCTGTCGAGTCTCTGCAATGACTTTTAACTGTGCAGCCTGCAGGACTGGACCGATACTCACAGTGGGTGTGTACTGGACATGAAAGGTTCACTACATTTAAGGCTGGGTATCATGCATCCACATAGCCATAACTAAGGTTATCTTTTTTTTTTTTTTTCTGTTTGAACTGAACATGCTGCCTATGGACAGGCTCTGAATGTTTTCTCAAATGGAGGCTTTGATGCAAGTCGTCCTTTAACTTCACAGCAACACTATATAACCACTGACCTGAGCTCTCTGTGTTCAGAGCATTAGGAGGCTTTTCACTATGTCTATAGGCAAGATATGTGTATGGGATGGATGGACTCCCGGGTTCATTCTAGCATGTGACTTCCCGAACCATACTCTGTTACTTTTACATGCATCATGGATTTACATGAGTGTGTCCTCTCTGAAGGTTTGAATCCAGTGCCTGGATCTCAAATCACCAAATCTGTTGAAAGCTAAATAATATAATAACTTCTCCTGTAGACAAGAGTGTGATTTTTTCCCCTTCTGTTTCTATCAAGAGGAGACTCTTTGTCTTCTTCTAGCTCAGTTATAAACGTCCTCCTCACATGGGCTCCCTTTATTCTGAAACCCTGAAGGAATGTAATCTGTATATTTCATTGTTGATAGTTGGTCCTTTATAATATCTGCTTTTATCAGTGTTGCTTTATAAAAAATCATCCTGTTATTATCATTATTATTATTATTATTGTATTACTACCATTATTTCTACATCGTGTTGTTTTGCTTTTTTTGTTTTGTTTGGGGGGGGGGGTTGTTGATGTCAGAGGATGCACTGCAACAACTTGTTAGAGAAATATTTGTGGCACAGGTCTTCACAATTTGTTTAAAAGAAATGGGGTGTGTGTTTTCAAAACTTTTGGTTGCAAACATGGGGAAGTCTAAAAATGTTATGTATAAAAATTTTTTTTGTTCACAATCTTATTTATTAACAAGTTAATTAGTGACTGCAAGATATGAGTTACTGCGATGTATATTTTGTCAAAAGCTGTTCAGTGCATTTTGGAACCATCATGGGACTTTTTTTTAAGATAAATGGCTATTTTTGTTCAGTCATGAGATGACTTAACTGCTTTGGAATATATTCCAATAAAGACTTTAATTTTGAAGAAATTCTCTGAATAACATGATCATGGTTTAAGACTAAGATTTATTATGTTCTCTTCATCAACAGATGGAAAATGCTTTTTACAATCAATATTTGTTCTTTTGGTTGATCTTTGACAATATCTATTTGGAGCCAGCAATAACAAATCTGACTATAGTACTGAACTTGTTTCTGGTGGACGAGCAACAGGAAGTCTTAACTAAACTATAACAACTATAACAGTATGAAAGTCAAGCCAACACCTTCAGATAAGATCATGGTGTGTTTGCTCATTTGAAAAAATACCTGCAACTCTAAAAGTAACATCTTAACAATTTAAGATGGGGATTGAGGTATAATAGAGGGTTCTCACAGGCACACTTACAATATGATTAACATGGTTAAGCAGTTAGATTTACAGAATTTACTGAGAGAATCATGGACGAGTCTTAAAAACATCACTTTTCAGAGTAAACTAAAAAGAAACTGACTCAAATATCATTCCTTATATATATGTTCCTTTTCCCCAAGAATAATAGTGAGGCAAATGTAAAATCACATTTTGTATCTCTGTTATAGGATCGATATTTGACCAGCTTTCCAGCCTGTGTTACAGTATTAATAGTAAGTTATCTGCTGCACTCTAGCGGCGAGTAACGGAACTACAGCGTTAAAGAAGAAGCGCTGCAGCATTTTATTTTCTAAAATCAAGGACAGATGAAAGGACAATATTTAATATTTTCAGAAAAGCTTCGGGCACAAAAACACGACCTTGTTTATTAAGATATAAACGAGGCCACTTTTAGGTGACACATCTACACAACCAGCGGCAAAAGGCTTTTTAAGAATAACTACTCTGTAAGTTTAATATGAACTGCACCGTTCAGGTATGTTTTAGCAAATCATTTCAGTGTTTATTATTCTGTTTCCGAACATCTTTGAACACTTTCTCTTCTTTAAATTTTACCTTGTTACCAATCGCTACTCTGCTCATGCAGCGACTTGTGTTTACACCGGAAGTCGTAGGCATGACTACTTCCCTGGCAACCAGCGAGTCCCTAGCAACCACCGGAACAAATAAGCTGAATAATGGCAAAGATCATCGGTGCCAAAAAATCACTGTGGCAGCAAGTGTGTGAAGGTAAGAAGATCATGTTCAGGTCGGTTAAGAGTTTGTGAATTAAAAAAAAAAAACATGAAATAAAAATCTGTTTCTGTTCAATGTGTTTTTTGGAGAGTTTGAAGCTGAGCAGCCCAGTCCTCCCAGTGCTATGTGGACAGATAACAGCTCAGTGAGCACCCAGTTCTCCCAGTACAGCGCCAGCACACACTCCCCGGTCTTCTATGGACTCACTACAGCCAAGGTCAGCTCATCATTCACTTCATCCATCCCTGTGTCTGATGAGTTGTCCGTCCTCTGAAATGACCCCCTTTGGTTTCATCAGGTGTTTGTGGATGATGATCCCCTGAAAGACTTTGACCCTCTTCTTTGCCACCCCGCTCTCGCCGGCTACTCTGTGCTGGGAAAAGCTCGTCCTTCAAGCCAGAAGCGCCTGACAACAGTGGAAACTACCTCGCCTCCGCAAGTCCCTGAGCGTAAGACGAATGGGCTTTGTTCTGCTTCTGTGTGCAGATATAACACTTTGACTTTGAGCATTTGTAACATTTCAGCAGGTTATTGGTTGAGATTCAACAACCGTTTTCTGATTATTACATCTCTGTGTATGTTTTGGTGAAGTTCAGGCACAGAAAACAACTAGGGGTCGCCAAAGCTTCATGAGGGGGTTGCAAGGCCTTCTTGATTTTATGGCGTGCTAGGAAAGCATAAAAAATACACACAGTAGTAATATCTCAGCATTTTGTTCATGTTGGTGAAGAAAAGTAAATGGAAAGTAAAGTAAATTGTCTAACAGAACAAAGGCCAAGTGTCAGAGACAAGAAAACACAGAATTTGGCAAAAAAAAGCCTAATAAGTCTGTATAATTTAAAACAAAATTATAAAAATTGACAGAGAATAGTATAAAAAGTTTGCATAATAGGAAATAACCTGCTCGGAATTCATCCAAATCTCTTGTTTTACACAAACTTCTTGCAGTTACTGAATTCACTATTTGGGTTCGTTGTACAGTTTCGAATATAATATGAAACATCCATAAAATATGTTGTCAGAGGTCGTCAGTTCACTAAATGATAGAAAAGGGGTGTACCATCCAAACAAAGTGTTACTAAGAACTCTGTATGAAACTATGAATGTCTTCTCGTGTGTGTGTGTGTGTGTGTGTCAGGTCCTGTCACACGTTATTTGGAGAGGACGGTGTTTCCAGCGCTGTTGCCTGGACTGGAGGCTTTGCTGAGAGAAGCACGGAAACATGGCTGTTTCGAGGTCTGGGTTTCTTCTAAGCAGCTAACTAATAAACCAGTGCTGTTAAAACGACCACAGATTGATCTAAAACCTGAAATCAAAGGAATTTATGTTAATATACAGTAATAAAAGTGGTCAAATATGCCAAACCAAGACATGTCAACTTCTACGGTCTAATTCAGGTTACTTAAGTAAAGTTTTTATGTACTTGTAATTGAGTATTTCCTTTTCTTTTCTGCTACTTTATACTTTAAATTAAGATTTTACATACAAATAATAGGACAATCTTATCAAATGTGACACATTGCTTTATATTAGAGTACCCAGTAGTATATGAGGTCATTTAAATTCACATTACTGCATCAGTAATAATACAGGTTATATAATCTACAGTAATATTCTACAGTAATAGTTTTAAGT